ACTCCCAATTTCAAAACTCCAGAACTCCATCAACTCCAAGAACAAACACAAATTAACACTCACTTCTAAGGTCTAACTACAACATTTTTGCGTAATGCATCAATTAGATACATCTTAGTTAAACATATTACTGTTGAATTTTCTGCCACAATAAATAAGTTCCAAGTCTATCTTATCTTCCAATAAATACACCCAATTAATTTACAATAATATACTTACAGTATAAATTACATAATAGAGTCTCCAAAAATGGACTACTTATACATGCCATATTATCATATATAATAATTTTTCCGGACTAAAATAATACCGACTCCCGGACCGATAGTACTATTCACAAACCGATAAACTACTATTTCAACACAGGAAAATAGGGCGTTACAGTTTATCAGCAGCGCGCTCCTCCTCGGCGTACCAGTTGGTGAGAGGGCCTTCGTTTGGCTTGATCATGCTCAACAGGTCTTGATTCCCATTATTTCCTGAAATTAGATTCATTAGAAAGATAAGACACAATTATACAATTGTTATGAAGGAACCATAACCCAGATAAATCTACAAGATAGGCAAAATAAGCTAGGAACACAGACTGATAGTCCAGACCGGATTCAGCAGAACCAAGTCCAATGTTTATTGAATTTCTCCGTAACCAGAAACTCAAATTAAACCAATACAACACCAGGGCAATCTCAAGACACAGGGTAACAAATCTCATGAAGAGCTCAACACCTAATCTTGCCATTATGGCGGTCAAAATAGTCACTCAATCTATTGCTGCATGTGGTACGTTACAACAGAGTCAGTTTAGGTGTTTTAGTCATAAGTTGAGCTATATATATCAAAATTGGAAACCAGAGGATGGGTTGGAAAGCTAAGAAGTAGACCTACAACTTTCATGAAGGACTCAAATACAGAGGGAAAATAAAACGAATAGAAAAATAGTCCTTACCTTAAACACACCCATTAACATTTTCCCTTGGTAAAATTCTGCCACTTTTGGAAGAAGAAGAGAAAAATAATTTCCTCATAAATTCAACATATAGGTAGGCTTAGAAAACACTCAAGAACACATTTATACAAGCAAATTCCAGCAATCAAATCATTTCATACCAAATCCCAAATTTTCACAAAGTAGTACAAACTTCTTGTGAATATTAAATCACTTCTAATTCATACTAGGATTTTCTGATTTATATGTTAAGTTAAGACAGTGCCTCCGGCACCGAATGTGACATCCGTCGTCGCTTTCTCTTCGCTGGAAGGTTCTCCACCCTCTAAGTGTAAGAAACTCAAAATCAAAACAAAGAAAACAAATAACAGAAGAAATTGGAGCATGATTAAGCATGTATATGCTAAAAGAAAACTCTAAACCCAAAAATAATGAGGTTATCATGAAATCACTTACTTGACCCAAGTAGGAAAATCTCCAAATTTCTTGAAATTATTCCTCTAATTTCTTTAATTAATATAACACCATCTTAAGTTACTACTCACTAATTCTCTAAAATTTTCCAAAAATATTCATTACTTACTTTCTACCCATAAAAATCATGCATACATACTCCAAAAATATTAAAGAAAATATTAAACATACATAGTAATTTTAGTTGGAGAGGAAGAGGAAGAAAAATATTGCTCAAATAATGGAGTTGACTAAAAGGGGAGTTTGGTCTTTTCACCAAAATTGGATGGCTAGGATTGAATGTAAATCTAATCTAATAGCTACAAATATTCTCCAAATTAAATTCCTTCAAAATATTATATAACACAACAAAATTCTCAAATTTACTCCATAAAAATAATTAATTCCTCTAATTTCTTTAATTAATATAACACCATTTCAAATTTACTCCATACAAATATTGCCTCTAATTCCTTAATTAATATCACACCTTAATTAACTATTCACTAATTTTCTAAATTCTCCAAAAATATTCATTACTTACTTTCTACCGATAAAAATCATGTATATATACTCCAAAAATATTAAATAAAATATAACACATAGATAGTAATTTTTCTGGACCAAAATAATATTTATTCCCGGACCGATGATACTATTCACAAACCGGTAACTTACTATTTCCGGACCGACAGTATTATTCACAGACAGATAAACTACTATTTCAACACAGGACAGGAAAAATAGGGCGTTACATTTTCAAAACTAATTTTTTAGTTAATTTGTTTTATTTCTTAACTTATACTTTGATGATAATAGTAATAGTTTATAAACATAATAGATAGGGTAAAAAAATGGTCAGATCGATTCATATTGAAATGAATTAGATAGAAAAATATAAAACCAAACTTTTCATGAGTGAAATTGAACTAAACCAAAGATAATATATGATCTAATTGAATCGAACTGAACCAAAAGTGATATTCGCCATATGTCTAAAGAGAGAATTTCATTTATAGACGAATATATTATTTTTTAGTTTTAACTGCAGTATAAATGAAAAATATTTGACACATGAGAATAAGATTTTTGTTTCTAGGCAAATTATTATCATTATCATTATTTTATTTTATTTGATTAATATTTTTCATTTCATCATTTCTCCATTTTTACTAAGATAATTCTTTCGTTTTATCATTTATATTTATAATTTTTTTTCCATTACTCCATTTGTTGAGCTTAAATTTAAAAGTTTGCTATTTTTCATCTCTTATAGCTTAATTTAACGATCTTTTTTTCAGAATAAATCAACAATCCATTTTAAAATCAAAGTTAATCAAACGATCCATTTTATTTCTAATGTTGTTTGATATAAATATTTTTTTTAATTATAATATTACATGAAAATTTGTGAAATAATAAATTTTGTGAATAACCAAAATCACAAAATTTGGTTTGCATTTAGTTTATTGCATGTTAATATTATGCCTATGCTGTATATTGTAAATGACCTATTGATACATACACCATATAATACCTGAAAATATTATTAAATAAACAATATATAGCTACGTATTCATCTGCAACAAATTTTGAGATATTTGAGTAAATTAACTCTTCCTATTATGATAACTAATTATAGTATTGTTAGTACATCTTCTATTCTACTGGCATGGGGATTTATCCATGGATGGGCTCAACCGCGCCAACATTCTAGAGTTTAAAAAGAAACTATTATTGCTGACCTATAATGGTTGGTTACAAACCTCTCTCAACCTGCTCTTACTGATTTGTAAGTTTAAGAAGAAATTTATAAATTTAGGTGTGCATTTCAGAAAAGATTAGGGTTATAAAATGTGCCATGGGATGAAAGCAGCGACGGAACTAGAAAAAAAAATTTAATATATTTAATTAAATTTTTAGTGGGGCCAATAGATCAAGAATTCTAAAATTTTTAACTTAATATGTATTTTTTTATCAATTTAATTATATTTTATAAATATTTTCCTAAAAGCTGACCCACTACAATTGCAAGGGCTCTGCCCACGGATGGAAGGCTGGCTGCCTGGCTGGTTTGCTACATTTGTTTGAATCAGTTTCGTGGTTATTCCAAGGTGAATTGTGAAAATATATCATTATTATATTATACACAAAGTAATATATTAAAAAATTAAATTTCTTTTTTTTTTTTCCTTTTTAATAAATTAGTAGTGTTTTAATCATTTGTTTTTTTTTTTTTTTTTTTTTTTTTTTTTTTGCTTTTAACATGATCAAAGGGAATTTTTTTTTTTTTTTTTTTTTTTGCTTTTAACATTGATCAAGAATTTGGGGTTATCAGTTTGGGAGGAAAATCATGAAAATTAAACATGAAAGTAGAAATTAAAAAAAAAAAAGACCAATTAGGAGGAAATCAATGAAAATTAAATAGAAATAATAAATTTATTAACTTAATTTTCTAGTGGAAAAAACAAAAATAAAAAGAATAATAATAAAGCATCTTTTGGTTAAAATAAAATATTGGATAAATTATTTAATCCCTAAAATTTTAATCGAATTCACTATCTCTTCCTCCCTCTATTTTGGAAAACCAATTAAAATGTCACTACTGTTATTTTTATCAATGAAAATGGTCTCTCAATCTAAAAAGAGAGCTTTTACCATTAATTGCAATTGATTTTTATTCAATTTATAAAGAAATTATGTATTGGTATTTTTTTGTTACTTTTTTGGATAGATATCATTGGGAAGGAAGAAATTAGTCTTTGGCCATAAAATGGTTTTTTGATTGGCTAAGCTGAAACCAGTAATGTAAGTTTTTCTGGTTTTGGTTTTCAAGGTATATTTCTAAGTTTTGATGTTTGATAAACACAAATTAATGATTAACAAAGACGAAAAATTTAATGAAAGGTTATTAAATTTCATTTTCTCCAAATCCTTATTTTTTAATGAGGAGACTATTTTATTTGAGGAAATAAATTTTAGAGACTTTTTAATTGATTAATAGGCATTTTTCCCCGTTAGCTCATCAAATGGACTCAGAATTTTAAGAAGACCAACTTAACCACTACCTGATTGTCACTATTTTAATTTTTACATTATAATTTTATTATATTACGAGGTTCAAAGGTTACTTTTTTTGCTAAGTGATTGTAAAATATAAAAAATATCCTTAAGAACAATTAATACTTCCCTTGAGGGCATAATATGAGCATTAAATGAAATACATGCAATATCAATATGTTTTATGAGGCATTTTTATAAATTTAGTGGAGCAAATGTATATATACACCCATAAAATTTTATATAAATTTAGAACATTGGATGATCATTTATGGTAGATCCACCTCTCTACATAGGGATTAAATATTATAAACTATAAAAAAATTAAGGACATTATTAATATATTTCATCAAACCATAAGAACTGCACAGTTATTATTTTTAGGGTTGCTTTCAATTTTTCACAGTCACTTAACAGAAAAAACTAACAAGTAAAATTAAATAGTGAAGTGGTTATTAATATATTTTAGCAAAACCTCCGGATAGTAATTAACCCCAATATTTAACCATTTTTCACGCGCTTTAATAGCGTTTGTTCTCCAATTTCCATTTTTCTGGGCTCGCGGAAGCGACAGTAGTTTTCTTTAAGAAAACCTACCGGCATCTGATTTTCTCTTCTTTCCTCCCAAAAAGAAGCCGTAGCCGCCCCACGACCTCGAAGCCTCTTCAAAGTAGGGGAAAAAAATTCATCTTATCTGCACTAAATCACCTCCTTCCGCCTCTCTTTGACACCGGCGACAGAAGTTGAGGAAGGCGAAGCACTCGCTCAAACAAGAAAAAGACTAATCAAGAGTAATTTCAGCTTGCTTGATTCTTAAAATTTTCATTTCTTTACTTATTTATAAATAATATATGTTTTCACTATATAATCCCACCTCGAGCCTTAGGTCTAGAGGAGTAGATTATTTCCTTCGACTGATAGTATCTTTCGCAAGATAGAGGTCACACGAGTCATGAAAATCAATTTTTTGAATAAGAAATTTTGATTTTAGGATTTAATGAAGAAAAATGAAGCTAATCTGATATCAGGGCTTAATAAAAAAAAATAATAAGCTAATCCTGATGAATCTTAGTCAGAAGATTTGTTTGAAATTTTTGCTTTTGATTTCAGTTGTTATTTTCCGTGAGATTGACTATTTGACTGTGATGATTTTTAATTAGTGGTTAAAAGTTATTATACTTTGTAATCCTTGGCTTCTCTAATTTTAAAGTTGAATGGAAGAGGTTTGCTTGTTATACTTGTGCTTGATTCTAAGTGTCAAAACAATCTAGCATAAATGTTGGTTAATCCCAGTGGTGAGCCGCTTTTATTGGTGTGTAATGTTGATGAAAATCTGTTAGATTTTATCAATATTCACTTGATATGGAGCTTAATTTGCAGGTTTTAAAAATAATATGAATTGATATGATTTTATTCCTTCAGCAAATTAATTTTCGTTCTTCTTAGCTTGAAATGTTGAGTTTTGGGTTGCTGTATTTGCAAGTGTTGATTATGGTGCTAACTAATATTTGGTATTTGGTTTGGGCTTCAATCTTTTGACTTTATTATTTTGATTTGAAGGAAAAAAGAAAGAGAGAAATCTGCACTTCTATTTGATTTGATGAAATGAAAGTCTAAAAGCTTCTTCTGTTTTACTGGAGATTTGGAAAAAAAAAAAAAATGAGTGAAATTAATAAAGCTTTTGATTGATTTCAATTTTTGTTTTTCTTGACATTCTGTTTGTTTTTCTGTTTTGTAGGTTACTTCTTAGGAATCAATTTATGTTTAAAGGGAAAAATGTTGAAAGAGGAGAAGCTTTAAGAAACTAATTTTTCAGTTCAATATTATGATTATTACCACTTTGACTAATTATAGACATTCATCCCAGAAGAACGACAGGTAAGCTATCTAATTTACAGAATTATAATCACTTTGACTAATTGACTACAAGCTCATAGTTTATCATTTTCCCATACATTCAAACCCATATTAGTATCTTGCACCCTTCAATTCCTAGTTTTTATTCTTCAATGATGCATGGTGTTTTGATTTCTGGAAATAAATGTTTTAATAGAATGGTACTTCTACTTGTATTTATATGGGCGTAAATTATAAGGCTTCTGATGTGATAAACATACCTTGTTTATATGGAAGCACAGCCTTATTCCTATTTGTTGTGTGCTATGGAAGTGATTGTTGGCACAAATTATAATGTTGAATTTAAAATAAGAACGAGCTTCAGTTATTTAGCTGATTCCGTTTGCTCCTTGTTTCCATTTATTTCTCTCTCTCATAAGTTATGCAATTTTATTTATCTTACTGACTTGTTCATTGGAATTGTAAAAATTAAAACTAAAAAGAGGACATTTCAAATTTAAACTAGGGGCCATGTCAGAAGTTTCAGTCCAATTGAATTGCTTAATTATCAAAGTTCAAGTTAAAACCTACAATTGTAAGGACTATTCTCATTTGATTTTATCAAAATTATGACATGGTATCGTCCAATTTAGTGATGCCTTGAATTAAAACTTTGAATCAACTATAGCTGGCCTAACAATCACCAAGCTCTGTTTTTTTTACTCATGCAATGAGAGATCAATTATTCATTATTACATTCACAGGCATAGCAATTTATGTAATTATTTATAACTTTTCAATTGAATACATAAAGTGCTCTGTATGATGTTGGAAAATCTCCTATCAACCTTCTTTCTGCAAAATGACATCAGTCTATTAAAAGCTTCTTTGGCCTTTTCTTTTTGAATTAGTTAGTGGATTTAATGCATGAATATACCATCTTTGCATTTAGACAGGTCGATTGATTCAACAATTTAATTAATTTTAGGTGGCCTGATAGCAGTCTGTTCGATGTCTGGGCAGATACAAATTTGTAACAAATTGTTATTATGACTGGTTGTTTGTCTTACAATTTATAGGCAATCGGGAACTTTCCAAATGTTTAACACTGAATGCATGTTGCTATTTGCTATTGGTTGTACGAAGTACCTTTTAAGTGTATCTTCCATAAAATCAAAATATTAGTTATGTGTTTCAAACTATGCATTTGCATATAAAACTTTTAAGCTTATGAGTTACTGATGGAACGAAACAATGGATGTTGGCTCTTTATACAATTTCTAGTGTTTTTTTTTTTGTTTTTTGTTTTTTTTGTTTTTTTATCCTTATGTGGTTAAGAGGCAATCCCCAACTTGCTCTATCTCTTATGATTTCACTGTAATGTCAAATGTATATGGAAATTTTCCTCTTGAAAGATAATTGGCTATTTCTGTAGTATTTCCCCACTCTCTAGTTCAGGATTTTGTTTGCACATTGCTAGGGCTATGAATTAATACAACTTATTTTATTTCAGGAGTGTTCGGGCAACCAATTTGCTTAACTATCATGGAAGCCAAATTTTTTCGCTTTCTTAAAATAGTGGGTGTCGGCTACAAAGCCAGAGCTGAATCAGAAGGGCGTCTCTTATATCTCAAATTGGGATACAGTCATGAGGTTGAACTAACAGTTCCTCCTGCTGTCCGTGTTTTCTGCTTCAAGAACAATGTAGTTTGTTGCACTGGTATCGACAAACAGAGGGTGCACCAGTTTGCTGCTTCTGTTCGTAGTTGCAAACCTCCTGAAGTTTACAAAGGTAAGGGTATAATGTACATCGATGAAGTGATCAAGAAGAAACAAGGAAAGAAGTCAAAATAATGGGAACAAGGGTGTATAATTATAATCGCAAAGTTTTTTTTTTTTTTTTTTTTTTTTTTTTTTTTTCTGTTATCCTGTAGTTGCACCATTTCATCCTTTTTTTGAGATAAAAAGGTTTAAACCAAAGAGATTCAGGGTTAAGGGTTAATATAGATGGTACATCGATTGACGTGATCAAGATCAGAAACAAGGAAAGAAAGTCAAAGATAATGAGGGAACAAAGGTGAATTTCACCTATAATTAACTCGTGCAAAGTTTTTTTTTTTTTCTTTCTTTTTTTTTTTTTTTTTTTTTTTTTTTTTTTTTTTTTTTGCTTAATTCCATGGTTGGAATCGGAAATGCAGTTTCTTGTTCTGTAAAACCAAGTTCAATTTCCAAACTAACTTGACAGTTTAAGTCAGCAAAAGGAGTAAAAGATTTTACTTATTGGAATAATAGAATTGTCCCTTGCATGAAGCATGTTTTTTGCTTCTTTTCAGGGCGTTATTGTCATGAAGTGGTGGACAGATGATGGTACCCCAAAGATTATTAATTCGAAGCAAAAAATAATTTGACATACTAAATAGATATTAGTATTAAAAATTATTTTTTAAAAAAATTTTTTTATTTTTGTTATATGATAATTAAATAAGAGCATCACATTAGCTCTGAGGTAAGGTAATAAAGGATATGATTTGTAATGTGTTAGACTTGGCAAAGGAAATAGATATTTATGTTATTTTTTAATTTCATTTTTTAAATTTATACAATAGATTGAGGTAATATTAATATTAATATCGTTAATAGTACTGAATGTTTTTTTTTCTTCTAATAATTCACCAAATAATTAATAATATCATTCATTATTTCAAATAATAATTTTTTTTAGTTTTTTAATAATTAATGAAATTAATAATATTATTATCATTAGTAAAAATTTCAAATCATTCCTCTTATATTATTGAAACTTCTAATAAATAATTTATTTAATTGTACTGAATTGAAATGAGCGAGCATCTTGACATACTATTTTATTATATACGTCATATAAAGTGAATATGACATATTTCACACGTATTGTTTAATTTAAAAATCCGTTTATTATAAATAAATTTAAAATGTAGTTTATTTACAAATGAATGTAATTCATTTATAAATGAATTTTCATGTTTGAAATAAATTTTGAATTAAAATTTTATTTGGTTTTATTTTCTAAATATCCTACTATTTTGGAAAAATTGTTCTATATAATTAGTGTTGTTGACTGTAGAGTAAAGCATGTGTCAATGTTTTTTTTTTTTTTTTAAAGTTAGGAAACAATTGAAGAACACTTATCTAAAGGGGTTGATTAAGATCAGATTTTCAAATAAATTCTAAATAAAATTAGAAATCATTTGGAAATAAATTTTAATATTTCAAGCAAATTAAAAATTAAAAATTCATTTATTGTTATTTTCTAAAATATCCTACAATTTCGAAAAATTGCTCCATATAATTATTGATATTGACCGTAGAGAGTAAACATATGCCAATGTTTTCTAAAAGATGGTAATTAAGCAACAAAAAAATAATAGTACAACGATTATCAATTGAGGGTTGGATGATACGATTTTTATAATTTTTTTTACTTAGACCCGTTTATTGTAAATCAATCCAAAATGTGAAATTCATTTATAAATGGATTTTAAATAGAATTAAAATTCATTTGTAAAGGAATTTTTATATTTGAAATAAATTTAAAATTTAAAATTCTTTTTTTGGATATTGCTCTATTAACTTGTGATGTTGACTATAGAGAGTAAAAGATATGCCGATATTTCTTTTGTATTAATAATAATGCAGTAATTGAGTGGCGGTGGTGTAATGAGAATTTGGTTATCAATTTTTAAGAAACTGAAATGGAATGACAATTAAATAGGTTTTTGGGTGAAATTAAATATGGTAATTACAATTGTAGCACATTAATATCACAATCAACTGTGTAATGTAATCTTCATTTCATTACATAATTGATTATATTGAATTAAATATAGTCTTAAAGTCCTTTTGGAGCATTTTGTATTAATAATGCAAAACAATGTTAAAATTATAAATTTGCAAAAATATATTTTCTTTCATTTATAATGTGCCTTCTTCAAATAAAAAAACATATTTTATTTTCTTTTATCATTTTATTTTTCTTTATTCCAAACATAGATTTGAAAATAATTAAGGAAGGAAAATAATAGAATCCTTCCTTCATGTTCTTTCCATCTTTGTTTTCTTTCCTCTCTTTTCCAAACCAAACAGAGTGTTAAAAACAGCATAAAGCCCACAAAAGTGACGCGAAAAAGCACCAAATCCGTAATAGAAGGAAACGCGAAGACCGGAGATAGAAAAAATAAACAACCGGAGAAAAGCAAACAAAGATGGCAGTGGAAGTGGACGCCAAGGACCTTCAAGCCGCCGGTGCCGAGCTATTAAACGACGGTCGTCTTGGACTGCGTATCCATGGCTGGGAGATAGTTTCCCATAAAGGCTCCATTCTCAACTCCTCCACTTTTCAACAGTACTTTTTCTCTCTCTCTCACGATCCATTTGCACAAGTATATGTGTGTTGAGTTTGCAAATCTTGAAGTACTTGAGAGAACAAAATTATTCTCTCTCTTTTTGTTCCTGTTTTCCGTGACTATTCCCAGGAAAAAAAATTGGATTACCGTGCATTTCAAGCAGCATTTTAGCTTATTCATTTCGGAAATTTGGCTCGTTTGGGTTTAATACTTGTGGATACTTCGTTAAAATTGCTGAAATTGGGATTGTCGATTTGGTTTTCTTCAAATGTTGCGAATTTGCGTACTCAATTCAACTGTCCATCTAACTCCAAATTGTTTATTTCCAGCTATGTTAGTTGAATTATAGCTTATGATCACAATTTCCGAGAAAGATAGAAATTCTATGAAATTCAAGTCTGTATGAAATGTGGTTGGTTATTTCTTGGGCTAGAGTTATCTTTGTTTTCAAATTGATTACATACGCTGTGGATGGTTTTCTTCAGAAATCAAATTGCGTTTTTACTTCTTCTGTTTGAAGTTTTAAAGATCCTTTCTCTGAAAATGTGGTGGCGGGTTTGTTGCAGTTATTGTTGTCTGTCTTTGGTTTACAAATGTAGAAAATATATTGTTAAAATATATTATTTTTTATTATTTAGTATTTGAAAATAGGAAAACAGGTTGGCTTCATAAAACTGTTTCCTAAGATACAAACTTTTATTATGGAGAACAGAATACCAACCTCTAAATTGGTGGTTTGTGTTGTTGTACAAGTGACTGAACTTTCAAATTGTGATATTCATTTCTGAATTTTGAAAATAACTTGAATTTTGTTTACTGATGCGCCCCAGGTGGGAACAAAAGCTTGGCACATCTCACTTACCAGAGATGGTTTTTGGGGACAGCTCTTTAGTTCTTAAACATGTGGATAGTGGCACCAAAATCTATTTCAGTGCATTTGATGCCCTTGCTGGGTGGAAGCAGGAAGCTTTGCCTCCAGTTGAAGTTCCTGCAGCCGCAAAATGGAAATTCAGAAGGTAATTAGGGTCTCTTATTTGCTTCATTGTTGATATTTAGAATTTATTTTTTCTTCAGCTTTCAAATATTGCTCTCTTATATATATTTTATTCCCTGGGGTTAGATGGGAAGGAGGCCGTGGGCTTTTTGGGAACTTTTGTATGTGGCCAATTTCAATTAACTTGTGAATTTTTAAAATATTGTGATTGAAATTAAACAATTTAAATGTTTCATTTTGAACGTTGACAGAATTTTCTTCTGTGATTTATCTGAAACTATTTTACCACTTTTTATTCAGTTGTTTATTTTTAGATTGGACTTGTAAGCTTCTGATTAGGAAGTTTTCTTTAGATGCCTTATTTGAATCTTAGAAAAGAAAGAGATCTACCACAATTACATTGAAATTCTTAATTGTTTGAGGTTTGAATGTTTTAAGTGTCAGGACTTGAATGGAGATTGACGCTATACTACAGGCTACTTTCGGTAATAATTTTTGTAGGAAAATAAATTTATTTGTGGAAGACCAAAATTTGTAGGATAAGTATCATCCTGCAGAGAGCAAAAAATAAAAAAAATAACTAATGTAGATTAGCCCTCCAATTGAATTGCATAACACTTTCAGATACTCCTCTAACAACTCCTTGAAAATAATCTGCCTAATAGGCAAAGGCAAACACTTTGTTCCACGATGGATAAAGTTTTGCACGGACACGCGAAAGGCTTGATGTTTCTCCACTTTAGAAACATTTCGGAAATGAAAAAACCCAGAAACGGCTCGCATTGTCGGGTCCGTTTCTGTAAATACTGAAAATCGGACACCCGTTTCCCTTTCCAGAAACGTTTCTTGCATTAAGAAAAAATCAGATTGCAAATCCAATCAAATTTGGATGATTTGCAATCCTATTTGGGAAAGAACAAATAATCCTGCTTTTAATTTCAATATTCAAACTTCAAATTTAACAGAATTTCATTATCTTTTTCCATTTTGACATTTGAATATTTTTTTTTCCTTTTTTTTTTATTGAGTGTGGAATTTATAAACATTTTTTTCTCTCTTTTGGATATGATTTATACTGATTTATTTTTAGTTATAGTTAAAAAACTTTATCTGTGGTTGATTGTGCTTTAAAAATTATAAATGTACTCTTTCTTAATTATTTTTATATTTATTCCTATATTTTTAAATTTTATAAATAAACCCCTATATTTTTATATTTACGCATTTCCCCCACGTTTTCGTTTCCTATATTTTTTAAAATGCTGTACCCTGTATTCGTTTCCGCGTTTCCGCGTTTCCCCGTTTCCGTGTCTGTGCATCATACTAATCCCTTTATGATTGCAAGCAATCTTCTGTGACTAAATATCCACTTTACCAAAAAGAATGTGCAATTTCAAAGAACTATTGCCTTGTTTCTGCCACCAAAGCCTCTCGATATTAAGCCAATAAACATCTTCGAATGTCAAAAATTCCTAACAGACTATTTCAAATAGCTAAAGCTATCTCGCAACGTGACAACAAAAGATACACCATGTTAGCAAAAAAGTACATAAATCCAGGCCTAAAGTCTTATTCAGATTCCTTTAAAATTATTAACATTCTCTTTTGAAGAACTGCACACCAGAAAAAGACCTGACCTTTTGAAGTTCTTAAGCTTCTGCAATATATTATGATCTTAAAAATTCTTTCAAGTTTGTGTCATTATTACTCTTAGCTCCACAAAATATTTCTCAGTAGGCAATGGATACATGCACATACTTTCCTTGAATTGCTTGAATTGTTGTATTGTATATCTGCTTTAAAAAAAAAAACAAAAAGAAAAAGAAAAAGAAAAGAAGTGTCCCACTGCATGAACCTTCCTGTTTCATGGATATAAGCTCTTGAACATGTAGTTCTAAGCAGATCATTTCAGAATCTGCATATGAGATCTGATATGATTGCTAGGTGCTTAAGAAACTTTTAGAAGAAAGGTAGAACAAAAAAATGTCAGGAGAACATTACCTGTTGCATTGGGCTTCTCTTTATTTGCTTTAGGCTTGACTACGAAAATAATTACAGAAAGTACAAGAGCTCACATTTTTTTGTAATTAACCTTAACACATACTACTGATGTCTTTTTCCTCCATATTGGTCAGGCTTGTACTTGAAATAGATACCGAGTTTTGGCACTAAATTTGCATGTCCAGACAGTCCGTTAAATGGCTAATTTCAGTTATTTTTATCTTACCCCAGTCTTAACACATGGCATATCTTTTCAAGATCAATTTCTGAGACACTAAAAACCAAATTTAGGCATTAAGCCAGCCAGAATGACTGTTGTGTATCCCTAATTTATAAATTGCAGGTTGTCACTCTATAAATATCTACATGTTTGGAATAGAGCACAATCACTATAACCTGTGTTCACAAAATAATTGCAGGTTCATGGAGTTAATATCATATCTCCTAAAAATATACTATTAAGTTTGTTTTTGGAACGTGAAAGTTGTCTTGACTTCCCCTCCTTTTGCAATGATATTTCATTGGAATAAGTTCCTTGTGATTCATCAGTACTCAAAATAGTTAGAAAGTCCACTGGAGGGTAAAAAGATTTCACACAGGAAACATGTATGATGTGATGGGGTTTCACATTGATTGTGAATTGTACCTTGACATATACAGATTGAGCCTCTGTGAATTTGTCATTCATTCAGAATTTTTCCTTTCCTTTTTTTGTCCCTTCTCCCTGTCATAGTTGAAGTGTTTAAACTGATATAGCAGCATTTACCAACTGAAAGGGATTGCTGTTGCCTCACATAGCACCTAATGTGAATTTGCAGCAAACCATCCGAACAGGTGATACTAGATTATGACTATACATTCACAACACCATATTGTGGAAGCGAGACAATTGAGGTTGACTCAATGAAGGTTTGTTTTGTTCATTTATTATTCAGTATACTTCTTTTTTTCTCTTGATTGTGCAGTTGGAACAGAAAAAGTGAACTTCCAAGCGGTAAAATGCTTAGTGCTTGGCCATGCATTTGAAGACTTTGTCTTTGAGGATTTGTTTTACGTTCAAAATTTCACATTTTTATGTTCTCCTATTTCATTTCAGACTTCCTTGAGTCTCCTTTTCTCTTTTCTTTGTTCAAGGTGTGGTTCATCCATTGAATAAGCAGCAATATCAGCTTATATCTCTGCTCTTTGCTTCTCTTCTTTCCTTTTCTGTTGCATCCCCATGCATGTTGTCGTTTTTTTTGGTTAAGTCAGAGAAAGTCTTCATGATTTTGTTTGGGCTTCCTTGGTACTTCATATATTGGTTAAGCAATAATTTGAACTTTAAAAGATAAAGTTGTTCCTTCATGCTCCTTTGTCTCTTGTCCCTCACTAAGATATCATTAAGCTCTTGCTGAATACATAGGATAAGAATAAGAGTTTAAAATCAGGGTTTTCTATTCAACCTATTTTAGTCTAAAAAATGATGCCACTGTCATTGGTCTTGTTATGAGAATGAAAGCGGGGAAAATGAAGTATAAGAGTTTAAAATCAGGGTTTTCTATTCAACCTATTTTAGTCTAAAAAATGATGCCACTGTCATTGGTCTTGTTATGAGAATGAAAGCGGGGAAAATGAAGTATAAGAGTTTAAAATCAGGGTTTTCTATTCAAAAATGATGCCACTGTCGTTGGTCTTGTTATCAGAATGAAAGCGGGGAACACATGGACACAAGTTCAAGTCTCCACTGGGAGGATTGCAAGGAGCAAATTGATGTGGCTTCCCTAGCGTCAAAAGAGCCTATTCTTTTCTATGATGAGGTTGTCAACTTTTATTCAACTCAGAGAGACTATCATAATTTTCCATTTTTTTATATGTGCCTGCCACGCTGAAAGTAGTCAGTTTAACACTATAGGTTGTCTTGTATGAAGATGAGCTGGCTGATAGTGGAGTTTCACTTTTAACTGTGAAAGTGGTAATATACTAATTCTTAAAAGCTGTAATGCTAGAAACACGTTATAAAAAAATATAACAGGGTCTCTGTGTACTGAGGACATCACATTTTGATTTTGCAGAGAGTCATGCCAAGCTGTTGGTTTCTTCTTTTGCGTTTCTGGGTAAGTTTCTTGATGTTATTTCTTAATTTCAAATCATCTTGCGATAAAATATCTAATAAACTCACATGCTTTCTCTCTCTCTCTCTCTATATATATATATATTTCTCTATCTATATATGCATGCATGCATACATGCTCGTATGTACAACTTAAATACCTACATGCTTTATCACATGTCTATTATAAAGAAACACTGAACTATTTTCATTTGGAAAAAGGAATATCTTTTATGCCATATCATGCAACTTGTTGAATTTTCTTCTCTCTTTCTTTTTTCCCCTTTATTTGACCGACTTCATTTCCTGTTCATCCACATACTTTTTCCCCTTACTTTCGTTTCCCTTTTTGGCCATAGCTTAGAGTTGATGGAGTCTTGATGAGATTAAGGGACACACGCATGCATTGCATTTTTGGTGACAGTTCTAAGCCTGTCATTCTTCGAGAAAGCTGCTGGAGAGAAGCCACCTTTCAATCTATTTCTGCTGTAAGAGCTCTCTCTCTCTCTCTCTCTCTCTCTCTCTCTCTGTCTCAAGACATGCACAGTTGTACACATGATTCTGTTAATGGGCATGCGTGTTTCTATCCATGCTTGAATGCAAGCATGCACATGGTGGACAAATTTTCTTGTTCACTTTCCTACTTACTTTTTTCGTACTCTGCTAAGGGTTTCTTTAGCTATTTTTATTTGTTTTACCATATAAACAGAGAGATGTTTGTTTGTCCTTAGGTGCTGTTGTGGAATCATCATCTGTTGTTTGAATAAAGATATGGCTAATGACATAAAAATCTCAACCTTTGTGTTTACTTCCAATTTTAGCCAATGCTTTTTTGATTATTTATTTATTTATTTTTTATGCATGATGCATCTTATGACATTGTTAACAATTGTAGCTAGTTGGCTGAAATTGGCAGTTTTATTTGATTGCTGAATCAAATACTAATTTTTTTTATCGCTTACTTCATACCTAAATTTTTTTTTATTATCTCTTCCATTGTTGTTGGAAGCCTTTGCTTCTCTCTCTCTCTCTCTCTCTCTCTGTCTCTCTCCCTCTCTCTCTCTCTCTCTCTCCCCCCTTCGTTTTACTTTCTATGCCCTGATCTCTATCCCTTGAGCAATGAGACTGCGCTTCCACTGGCCACCTTTGATCTCTAAAACTCATCCCCTATTTCCCATTTAGCTCTTGTTAAAGAACTCAATTCAATCTCCAGACACCATCTCCTCTCTCTTTTTAGTATTGGCCATCACAGCTTTTAATGGTCTTACTTTGTCTATTCCTATGATGGTATGACTTCCAACAAGCTCTACCTTGACCTTTGCATACCAGTAGTCAAATCCATGGGCTCTTGTTGTTGGCTGGAACACCATCTAAGCTGTAAATGATGCTTTTGGAAAAAACATACAGGCATTAATTGCGCCATTGATTTGAAGCAAATACATACTGATAAGCTCGGTCACTTCTGCAAATCTGCTTGTACGCAGCATTGCCAAATTAATGTTTAGTAAAGGTGTGGGAAGGAGAGAGAGGACTAGGAATCACTTGAATGATGCTGTTGGAAGGGAGAAAACAAAAATAAGAGACTAGAACTATTTAATAAACAATTAAAAACGAACATTTTATTTTTTTCATTTTAAGGGGAAAACAAATGTTTTGTTTGAATTATCAATAGAAGGTCAATATTTGTTAATTTCAGTCTACCGTACCAATGTAAGAGGATTGGTTAAAATTTATAAAATTAAAATTGGTAAAAAGCCATAAAATTTGAAATACAGAAAAAGATTGGGATTTTTTTTGTGCCATTTGCCATTTTGGCCTAACAATTGAGTACATAAAATAACTTTCAAAGTTGATACAACTAGAAGTTAGCCCATGCCTTGAACGGGTTCATTTTTTTTATTAAATTAATAATTGTTTTAATAAATTTATTTAATTATTCATTAATACTCCCTCCGTCCCATTTTGTTTGCTTCTTATTCCTTTTTTGGATGTCCCAAAATGTTTGCAAGGTTTCTAAATTTAGACATATAAACAATTATTTTCCCATAATAACATTTATAATTGATCATTAAATAAATGACTTTTAGTATCTTAACGAGTTCTAAAGGGTAAAGAAGGGCAAAATAACTTTTGTTGACTAAATTCTTAATAGTCGTGTTTTGTCAAACCATGCAAACAAAGAGGGAGTATAATATCACTTATTCTTTTTAGTGCATATCCTTTTGTTACTAATTGCAAAAAATCAATATTGTGTAAATTTATGATAAAAAAATCAATGTCATTAGTTTTTTCTCATTTATCAATTTTAAATAATTGAATTATTATATTAAATAATTTGGATTTATGGAAAAATTACAAAACCTTTTTTTTTTTTTTTTTTTACAAAAACCTTTTTTTTTTTTTTTTTTGTAATGAATTAGTATTGAATAGTGTATGTAGAAAAGAGTTTTCTCTTACATGCAACACACAGATATTTATTTATTTGTTATATCTTTATCTTTTTTTTTTTTTTTTTTGTATAATTAGTATTGAATTAGTATATGTAGAAAAGAGTTTTCTTACATGCACACACAGATATTTATTTATTTGTATAATCTTATAACAAATATATTCAATTGATATTACATCAATATCATTCAAGTCATCATGGAAGGGGTATATATGTGTATATGTGTGTGTGTGTGTGTGTGTCTGTGTGTTGAAATTAGTAGAAAATGGATAGAAATGAAAAAAAGAAAAATCTATGCTAATCTGATAGGATCGCAACAAATGTTCTCCAAGAAACCTTAGTTTTAAGCATGCTGCTGTTTAAAACAAAAGTTACACATGCTTCAATCATTGTACAAATCTTTGCATCATTAATTGATTTATGGAAAACATTATCTCTGTTGTTTGCAGACGATTCTATTATATTTGGGAATATACTTTCTACTTTTGAGTTATGGGTATTTAATTCTTACTTAAATTGCATCCACTCCATGTTAAAGCAACTTATGTTTTGCTATTGAAGCATTATGTGTGATACTTGGACTGTAAAGGCACGGACAAAATAGCTGAACTCATGACCCCATTTTGTTTTGGTATAAGTCCATTGGTGTTTTCATTTGCGTGATGTCTGACAAAAAATGGACTACGATTGAAGTTTCCATAATGAACTCCAAAGATACAATTCTAGAATGCTTTCTTTTGCCTTTTTCTGGAGGCATTTGGCACCCTCACTTAGATTTCTACCTAACTGAAGTGGTTTTGCTTGCCTAATGCAGAAGGCATAAGAAGTGTTTTCTGATTTTCATGCATGCTTTTTTCATTGTGGTGCAGAAAGGGTATCCTTCTGATTCTGCAGCATATAGTGATCCAAGCATCATCAGCCAGAGGCTTCCTGTAATCCTGCAGAAGACCCAAAAGCTTAAAGTTCATGGTAATTCATAAGTCTGTAGATTGTCTTCTGTAAAAAGATTTATATGTTCCCAAGTTGTGGTCATAGCATTCGTGTTCTTTTAGATGGATTATATTTGCATATGGCTTTTTTTCCATTTAATACTCATGTTAAATCAGTAAGCCATTTTGATGAATGTAATTGTGGAGAGAGAAAAAAAAAATTAATCTGAAGTCCCCTATTTTTACCTGTATCTAGTTCATGGTTTTCATGACATTGGCAATAGAGGCCAAGAAAAATAAAAAGAAGCAGGAATGCACAGTGTTCGCTAAGATGCATAATTAGTGTTGGGAAAGAAACTGGAATGTTCAGCGTATGTGAAAGAAGCAACAATAAGATGTATATACTTGTTATAAGGAGGGAGAGGTTGAAAAGGGGGCTTCAAGAGGATCAAAAATAGAATATTGGGGAAGCAATATGTTGTCGAAATATTTCATCAACTGTAAGAGATTGCAAGGTCTTAGCGCATGGAAGGAAAGAAAATCAGTAATAGAAAGACCAAAGAACAAGTAGGCATAACGTTAGACTGCTCTAACTCTTAAATTTATTTGAGATTATAAACTACGAAAGTAGAACTACACGACAATAGCGAGATAGATTGTTCCCCTTTTATTTCATTGCCACGTGGCATTTCCTGACATCTTAGTGCAAGAAGACCAAGATATTTGGACCTGGATTATTTTCCAACTGCGTGTTGGGATCAATGGGTGGAGAAAACATCAAAACCAGAATATGAAAAGGAAATAATTAAAGATTAGATGAGATAGTTATTTGCAGCAGTATTGAAGGAATTGATTTGCATTGGACCCTGTTTCAACTTCAAGAATAAGGAAGGGCCATAAAAGACCTGGACTGAGGTGGAACAGAGAACAAGGACATTGAGTTTGATTAAAAATATGGTCCTGATTTAATTTAATGGTAGAGGAACCTTTATTGTATTTACCAAATCAGTTCTGCAGGTAGGAAATGATTAGCCAGTAACAAAGACAATCTCTTAGATGGCTTCTTTGTTCTATTTTGGTGGTCGCTTTCTGTGAGGTTGAGCATTGCATGGAGTTAAATGGTAATCCTCTATATTTAGAGACATGAGTGACTGTTTGTGACCAGTTGAAATTTTTTAACTATGTGTATCAGAATAATTTAGGGGAAAAGTATGTAATTTGAAAGTAATAGGGCACTGCATGGAAAGCCAAATGCCAGTTAGGAAGCAACAGTAGCACACAAGATGTCCACCATTATTTTCAACTTTCCTTTTGTTTTCCTTTTTATCATCTTTCACTTTTAGGCAGTGTTTGTGGTGAGTGACAAAGTGCTGGTTCAGCTTGTAATTTATTCTATACTAAAAGGTAACAGCGTAGATGAGAAATCCAGAGCTTTCATGTAGTACTTTGTTGAAAATTTTTATTATTCATGTTACTTGGAATCTCATCATAGTTAGCTTTCTTGTTTTACTGTTGATGTTCCTTTTCAATTATTTGTTGTTTCTCTAAATCTATGATAGTTCTCAACTATGAAATTATACAATTACTTCAATTTTTTCCCCTGTGATCATCTCATCATGATTTGTCTCAGTCTGAGGATTATGATGAGTGAACAACTCATGAGGTGCTATACAGAAGGAATATATACATAAACGTGTGCGTTCTTGCATATTATATGGAAAAAATAAGTAACAATAATTACAGAGAAAGGGGAAATCGGCCAAGTTGAAATTACCTTCTGGGAAGGTTCGTTCAGCAGGTAGACCCAATTTAGGTTTAATAGTACAATCCAACAGGGGGCAACCATATTTGTTTAATTTATCTCTCACATACACCGGAAAAAAAAAATAAAACAAAAAAAATGAAAATTGGTGACTGGAAGAACACATGTAGGCTAGAGTAAACTTTGTGCTTTATAGTTGAGGATAGAAAATCCTTACAAACTTGGTTCCAGTAACTAGGTGATGTCACATTTATTTTTCAAGATGAAACTGAAGAGGAGGGCTTGTTTTCTTGCGGTATGGCATGCATACATGAAAAGTCATTCTTCATGTTTCTTCCAGTTCTTGAGAAAGAACCAGTGGTTTAGGACTACAACTTTTCAAAGAGGTTGGTTACTCTCCCTCCTATACTAGTTTCTGTATATTTGATGAATGAAATAGTTAACCTTGATAACTGTTCCAATAGAAGTAACATGACAATGAATTCTGAAGTGGAACAGTGTGGGTGACTAACAATCAGAGTTTCAGGTTTAAGTCGAGCTTGAGTGATTCTGATGGTGGCTCTGATTGTTGTGGATTCAACCGAAAGCTGCCTGGCCACATTAAATCCATGGCATCTTCAAGCATGAAGGGCATCCATGTTGTGTCAAACCGCATATTACTAGCTTCATTAAATCTTGCTGAAACAGTAGTTTCTTCTCTACTTGGCTTGTGAACAAGAGCATGGGGCCTGACCCCAAGCGATCTGTTAATTGAAGTATTCATTGGAAAACCCATCATAGCCATCATCCTCTGAGACTGGTATCTTCTTGCTGCGCCTCTCTCCCTTTTATGAGCATTCTGATGACCTCCTAGTGCCTGCGAACTATAGAATTTTCTCCTGCAAAAGTTACATGAGAAAATTTTACTTGAATTATTAGGTCTTGATTGTGTATCGTAGTCTCCTGCTGTTGAAAGTGAATTCGCACCTAGGCTCAGATTCAACCATTTTCCTGGATTATGCTCTTCAATTCCTTCATTGCTATTGTTGCTGCTGATTCCTATTTCTTCTTGGTTTTTGTTGGTTGGTATCTCTGAGGTTTCTTCCTCGGTGAAAATCATCTCTCTACAAATCTCAAATTTTGTGTAATTGCATAGATGGAAGTTGAAATGAGTAGGAAAAAGATGGAATTGTTGCCAGAGTGTTTGAAGGGTTAGATCAAAGTGGAAGAGAAAGCATAAATATAGATAGGAAATCATATTGGAGAAAAAGAAAAGTAAGATTAGATGTTTTTAAATTTATCTAGTTCCAATTTAGTGACCCCACTGAGTGATGCTTGGTGTTCCAGACGACAAGCTTATGTCATCTTTACTGTTGCCTTCATCAAGCTTAGGATTCCCCACTTTCATTTTTTCTTGCTTTCTTTCTTTTTCTTCTTTTATCTTCTCAAATCAAACCAACTTTACATGGTTCTCTTTTGGAGTAACTAAAGAAAGACAAGGTTGACAATATCTAGTAAAGGTGTAATCTATGGTCAAAATCATAATCTTTCAACTTCCAATTAATTAACATTGCCTCCTTTGAGTGCTTCTTATCCTCTAGTAAACAAATCTACTTGTATTGCTTTTGTGTCTTCATTGTGCTGGCTCTAAAGATACTCTAAGCTTTTTAGGTGATGTACAGACACATAAAATTGTAGCACTAAACAGTATGATGGAATGAGTAAAACTTGGAAGGAAGAAAATGAGAGGTTTATCCGATAAGGAAAATTAGAAATTCACTCTTTTTTTTTTTCTTTTTAAAAAAAAAAAAAAAAATTGGAAGGTAAGGAAAATTAATTTTTTTTTTTCTTTTTAAAAAAAAAAAAAAAAATTGGAAGGAGGGGAAGGTTTGTTGTGTAGAATTACCATATTCTTGAAAATTTTAAATAGGATATAAAAAGACTTTAAAAATAAAATGTGAATTTGGAATGTAAAAAAATCTAGGGAGTATCTTTTTTCACCTTCACTTGAAATAAATTTGCTCTTTTCTGCTCTCTTCTTAGCCACCAATTCAAGTTTGAGACAGTGAAATGACACTCATCGTTGTTTTTTTTCCACCAACAGAGACAAAATAAACTGAGCATCTCGTAAATTATGTCATTTCCAGTAGGTATTGAACAACAGAGATAGAAGGGAGTGCATTTTCCTATTCATGGAAGTGAGTGAATAATAAGGTTCAATGTTGAGTTGATTTAATGTTTTAGTGGCTGGGTGATGGGACCACAGAATTGCCAATAATAACCTGAAGGAAAGAAATGAGATCTTGCCATTTCGATATCGTTTGCTTTATAACAGGAGTATCTATGTGGGTCTGTCTCTTCATGTCATTTTAGGTTTTGGGAATTCCTTGGCTTGCTTTTTTTAAACATGTAGAACGGAGAATTGCATTTGGAGCCATTTGGGTCACTCTTTCTGTACATGCATTTGGAGTCATTTCTACTTTTAGTTTTCTTATGAAAGAAAGTTATGGGAAAGAGATGAGGGCTCTCTCTAAAGTAAAACACTCCATTTTCTAAGATCAAAACCTCCTTGTTAACATATTGCATTATAATGCTTTATTCGTGCGTTCAGTGTAGTGGGTAGGACCAAGCAAAAAAATTTCTCATTATTATATGGTGTTTTGGTGTTTCGATGTTGTTAGGTTTAGTTTTTGGAAGTTAATAACTTTTGATTCCCAGGATGTAGAGGAGGCCAAGAGCTGCCATGGCTAAGTCTATCTTTGTAACTTAAAAGGTTAATTGCATTTCAAAATCAAATTAGAGGTAGGATTTAAAAACTTGACTTAGTTTGGGTTATGGGCTTATTCAAAATCAAATAAACAATATATAGACATTCTATTAGGTGCTTATTCATCTTTATTTGTGCCACTAAAGATGAATCTGACATTTACTTAAAAGCTCCAATCTTATAAGAATAGTTTAATAGTGTTAAACAGACGAGTCGAGCTGCAGTTAATTGCCGACGTTTTATTTTTTTGAGCAATGCATAATCTGATTAACCTTAACCCAATTATTAAACAACTGCTCCAAACAAATACCTATGAAACGCACTAATAGGTAATTGAAAGTATGTGTTTCCCTCAATAATTAGGGTTGAAGTCCTGCCAAACATTGCCATTGTAGTGGGGTTTGTAATTCTTTTCAACAGGTATATATATGTTGGTGATATATTAGACCACTAATTGATTGAAAATTTGTTGAAGGAGACGTTTAAAAAGATGGTGTCAGCACAAAATGCCACAAAATGCTTCTAGTCAATCTAACCATTGAAGTGCTTCAAAAAAAAAAAAAAAAAAAAAAAAAAAAAAAAAAAAAAAAAAATTAATGGATCTCTCTATATCACTTTCAGGTTGAAGTAACTTTTACAACTTGGCTTCAACTTGGGTTGGTTGTACGAGAAAAAGAAGTTAAAAAGGTCTAGACGCAACAAATTTTAGCATAACATAAGAAAAAAGATAAATGGTTTGTTTAGATATTGTGTTTCGTGCATAAAGGACAATTTTTTTTTTTTCCTCTAAATACTTATTTCTATTTTGATTTTAAATATCTGGGAAAGAAAATTGAATTTGAATTTTCATTTTAACTCTATAACTTAGACCAAGCTGATTTTCAGTGGGTCAGAATTAACGGGATGGATTCTTGTTGAATTGAAACCAAAACTAATTAATTCAAGGTTAGGTTGGAACTGAAAGGATCAGATTGCTTGTGTAAATGTTTGTTATATTATTCAAGGAAGCAAGATATATATTTATAGAGTTTACATATTACATTTGAAATATAAAAAATCTTCAAATCATATCTAAACTGTTTACGGTTAAACAAAATCAAATATAAAAAACTAACTAGTTTGACTTGGTACAAGAGAGTTATCCTCAATACACCCCCGCAAGATTGAGCTTCCATCAGAGATGCCAATCTTGGGTCGAAAAACACGTAATCGAACTTTGGACTGCGGCTTAGTAAGCAAATCAACAAGCTGATCCTGACTAGAGATATGTTGAAGACTTGGTAGCAAGAGAGTTGATCCTACAGATACACCCCGCCAACGGATTGAGCTGTCCCATCGAAGAGATTGCCAATCTTGGTCGAAACAAAAAACAGCGTGAATTCGAACTTTGGGACTGCGCTTAAGTAAGCGAATATCAAAGCAAGCTGATCCTGTACTAGAGATATGCGTTGAACAATAAGGTTGTGACCAGGTAGATTTACCTTCCGTCTCCACGGACAAAACATGCATAATCAAGGAGATAAAAGTTACCTTCTCACGGACAAAATGATAATCAAGAGATAAATGCTTCATGCGAGAATGGAAAACAGGATTGGCACAGAAGTATGTAGCCCCAATATTATCACACAAGATTAATGGCTTATAAATAACTGTAGGCTGGAGTTCTTGAAGCAAACTTTGAAGCCATGAAACCTCAAACGTTGTGGCTGCTACTGAGCGATACTCGGCTTCTGTGGAAGACCGAGCAACAGTTCGCTGTCGTTTTGAATGCCAAGACACTGGTGCAGTACCTAGAAAAATAACATATGTACTTGTAGAAAGCAAAGTGTCTTTATCAACCCCCCCCCCCTAATCAGCATCTGAGAAAGTTGTAATTGAAAACTTATTACAAGGACGAAGATGTAAACCATGATAAGCAGTACCTTTGAGGTATCGGAGAACTCGTTTCAGTGCTTGCCAATGTAGTTCAGTGGGCTGATGCATGAACTGAGATAGCCTATTGACAACAAAACAAATATCGGGTCGGGTAAAGGAAAGATATTACAAAGATCCAATTACACTGCGATATTGTTTCAGATCAACTGCAGTACTACCATCATTGAGACGAAGAGCAGTCACTGAACTTATAGGAGAGCCAACAGATTTTTCATCTTCCATTCGACATCGCTTGAGCAAATCAAAGATATATTGATGCTGAGATAACAGAAGTCCACCATTAAACTGATTAACAGAGATGCCAAGGAAATAATGCAATTGTTGTGGATCTTTTGGCCAAGGGAAATAATGCCAATTGTTGTGGATCTTTTGATAGAAAATTTTATTGGCGCAAACTCAACAAGGGAAATCCGAAATAAGGTTGAGTTTCGACATCGCTTGAGCAAATCAAAGATATATTGATGCTGAGATAACAGAAGTCCACCATTAAACTGATTAACAGAGATGCCAAGGAAATAATGCAATTGTTGTGGATCTTTGATAGAAAATTTATTGGCCAAACTCAACAAGAAATCCGAAATAAGTTGATTATTATTGCCAGTAACAATAAGGTCATCCACAAAAACAAGAAAATATATCACAGAACCTGCATCCGAATAAATGAAAAGCGAAGCATCTGCTTTGGAATTTTTGAACCCAAAGGATCATAAAAACTGCGAAAGAGCTATACCATACCCTTGGTGCTTGCTTCAACCCATATATCGACTTGTGCAGTTTACAAACAAAGGAGGAATGAGTCTGATCAACAAAACCAAGAGGTTGAACCATGTATACCTCTTCAGTAAGCGGTCCATGAAGGAACGCATATTGACATCTAATTGTTGCAAGTTCCATCCATTGGTCAAAGCAATAGTCAAGACAACACGAATAGTAACCGGTTTGACAACAGGACTGAATGTGTCAATAAAATCTTGGCTTGGACGTTGTTGAAATCCTTTCGCGACTAGTCTCGCTTTATGTCGAGCAAGACTGCCATCGGGATTCCGTTTGATACGGAAGACCCACTTGCATCCAACAACATTCTTACCTGTAGGTAAAGGAATAAGACTCCATGTGCGATTCTGTAACAAAGCATTAAATTCAGTAGATAAAGCAACTCTCCAATTTTTATCTGTTAGAGCTTGAGTGACACAAGTTGGCTCAACAAACGAAGGTGGTGGATGTTTAACAGAAGAGTGAAGTTGCTTTGGTCGAAAAATGTTGTTCATAGACCGTGTCGTCATAGAATGTACACGAGTGGGTAAAACTGGCTCAGGTGAGGGAGAAGCAGAATTTGTTGGAGTTTGGTGTGGAGAGGTTACTTCTGGTGGTGACGTTAATGGAGATGGAGTAGGACTGGCTAGGGGTAAAGTTTGTAATGGAGATAACGGGTGTGGTGAAGGTGGAGATAGAGTAGAAGAGCTAGGTGGAAGGTGGGATTGCCCATCAGTCAAAGAAGAAGGAGATGATAGTTGTACCTGAGTAGTCGACGGCGAATCCACCAATTCACCAACCTGTTGTAAATATGTAGTGTCGTGGTTA